AGAACTTATTTACCTCTTTCTATCAGGTGGACCGTCAGCTTGTTAGCAATTCTAAGTTGCATAAAAAAACAACTTGACACCAAAGATCATTCTATCATACGCGTAGTATTAAGTAGTATGTTAGAGCAAATTCTTTATAAACTTTATCTATTGTTGCATTTGAACACTACTCTAGTGTAATTTGATCATAATATAATATAAATAAAAACTTAGGTTCCAAGAAGCAAATGAAGAAGAATAGCGGATGATGAGTGCAGAAAATTTTTATTACGTTGTGTTTTTATTTAACATAAAAAAACATCAAGAAAAATCAAATTATTAATTATTGAGAGAAAAATAAAATTAGAAAAACAAAATATAAAGACGTTTCATTACAATAAATACACTAGTGAAAATCATCGATAAATGATACTCGTCCATCTCTAAAGGGAGGCAAGGCGTCAAAACGCACGACCGCAACTATCAAAGAGAAATCTTTTCCGTGTATCAATAACGTTAGTCGTATCGTGGCGACGGCGGTCGTCATCGACTAGACACATTGCGATTTTGTATGCCTGCGACATTTTATAACTTTAACATATTGTTATATCTATATTGTAATACTACAAGTAGGTATTACAATATATTTACATGAATTCACATCATCTTTATTACATTATCATAGAAAAAAAATATCTATGACTGCTTACTCCTTTATGTTATTAATAATAATAACTGGATATATTATATAGCATCATCTAGTTCCAAACTAAGCAGTACTTACACTATGATACAGCTGATATAAACATTAAAACAAGTACTTTTTTAAATATATATATGTTCATAGGACAACCGAACTTTGTGAGTTAGTCTATCGCCCGACTCAGAAGGGTGAAATAGTGTGTTAAAACCACTACACCACTAAGATCGTCACATTCTATTAATATTCTTAGTAAGTAGGTAGGTACTTGAAAAATCAACCAAGTAGACATTACCCGATGGAAAGAACCATTGTACTGTTGATGTGTTCCGATATCAGCATATTCTAATATTAACTGCCAAATCGACTTACTCTATTCGTAAAATCTCAACAAAGGGGCATCTCTTCAATGTGGCAAGGGCGTGAAATTATTTTCCTTGGCGTATGCAGATTAGAGGAGGGTGACTGGTGGGGTCGGGATTAGTTCCGGTTTACTTTTTATAGGATTCCGATGATAAATGTCACTATTGGATATGCTAACGGGTGGTGCGTGTAATGTATCCAAATAAGCTGGATATATTTGAGTATAACTTTCTACAACAAACCGATCAGTGTGACTATAAAACTCTTGTATGTCTGCTTGCTATATATCGTAACCTTTATTAGTAACTTGTCTAAATATAACAGTTCATTTATTTTTTCGAAAACGACATTTGATATCTTCAACCCAAGCACGTGAAAAAGTACTTATCTTGCTTAACATTACAAAAAAGTTGCTTGAAGACAAATTATTCAGTTTCATAAATATCTACTATGGCTGTATATCGGCTTATTCTATTTTTACATTGCACCCTGTATTATTATATTTACGAGTACTTTTGAAAATAATTCTTAAATTATTTAGTTATGTATAAGTGATGTGACAATAATCAAGATGCAGTCGGATACAATAAGTTCACGACACGCAACACATGTTGCCACCCTTCTATCAAACACGTTAACGGTTTAGGAGTCAGACAAAAAAAGAGGAAAGTCGCGAAGCCGGCGGGCGGACGGACGATTGCTATCCCGAAATATGATTTATAGATCGGACGTCATCGGCAATGCGCTTTCTATACGTCACTGTACATGTCACCTCGCCCGTCAGCCGCCACCACGCGCTACCACCCCGCCTGTTCAGGGAACGATGAAAAATATATTTTGTTGTCAATGATACCATCGAGTTCATTTTATACAATGATTTTTCATCTAATGCAGATTTGGTATTCTTTCTTTATAAGGTACCATCAAATTTTTATGCTTAAACGATAAAAACTCTGGTGACTTTTTTTTTTATTGAATGAAAATGGAATGGTAACCCCGCCTACGCTAACGGGATACGCTGGCAGGACACCAGTGAAGGATGATCGATGAGGATGAAAACAGGCCAGTTAGCCCATTATGATGAATTCATCTGGAATTAATTATGATAGTTTCCAGGAAGAACTGCGTGGAGGTCGACCTGGTTGAATATATTGCTAGCAATGGGATTCTGTCTTCATTACTAACAATCCCTTTCCCCCCACAATTTGGTGATTTGGTGATTTGGTGGTAGTCGTGGTTCTATTCTCTATTATAACTTCAAACCATTTGATGATCTAGCATAGTATCGCGAGACGGGGAAAAGAATTTTCTCCCCCCTCACATTTATAATCACAGATCAACTAGATTGTTAGGCAAATTCTGCACTTAATTATCTTTTTATGTGAATCAAATGTCGAGAAAATACTATAAAAAATTTTAGTTGACGTAGCATAGAAAAATTTAAAAAAGGTTTTATTTTGTAAGTCACTTAAAAATAAGACCAAATAGACGAGAACTACAAGTCCCACATTCAGCGGTAGACAACAGTTAAAATGATAAAAAAATTAAAAACAAACTAACTTCGTTCGAATGACCGGAATTATGTAAATTGCCTAGAATAAAATTAGTCTATATCCTTCTCCATCCCAAATAAGTAATACGTGTGCCCAATTCCGTTACCATTTATTGAGCTGTTAAAACACCAAGAGGTTACAAACAAACAAACTCACTTTCACATTTAAGACATTAGGAAGAATTGGAAAGCAACCAATCCCATCCATCGAAGTAAACATTTGTATCAAATCGAACAATAATCGCTCATATTGTCAGTTACAATACAATTTGTTTGGAAACTCGACGCGTGAGAGAAATAATAACAAATGATTCGCGCCCTAACACCGCCTGGCGTTGAAAGATCACGCCTATTGCTTTCTTGTTGATGAAAAAAGTATAACATTACTCCACAAGATACATTAGCATCGTATGTACCTACATCAAAAGCAGCACTAAGATAGACATGCGTAATCATTTAAGAATAATAATCTATGCAACAATCCAATTTATCAATTGATAATACACAAAGATTTATATAAATGAAGTGGATGTACCGTAGTCAGCCGGTAGACATATACAGTACTCCATACACCGTAAGTAGTACGAGACCACTAAAAATTTTTGAAAAAAATTTTGCTTACTATTTACCGAAAAAAAGGAGGGTTCAACTGTTTTAATAGTAACTAAATAGAATTAGTTATTTATATTGAGTAGTTATTTACCATTAAAGTTCAAAAGTGAACTTTATTGATAAATAACTAATGCTTAGACATTTTAACAGTTTCTTTAATGATAACCCAATACACGTAACAAAAACATAACATACCACAATTATCCTTTTGTTTTTTCTTGGATCTTTTCATCTTCGCAAAGATATCCACAATACCAAAGATTGTTATCACTTTTATATCAGTGACAAAATGCAGGGCGGATCTGGCCAGTCTAACGTATCAGGTTTCTACATTTAGAGTCTAAAAATTTCTATTGTAAACCTATTTTTTTATTTATGAGAAAAAAATTAGTTAATAATAATTTATAATATTATAATAAGCCTAAAGCACTCTAAATTAGACCTCCACACTAGACACGAAATACTCATTACGGTATGAAAATTTTAATACGACAAATCTATAACAAGAAGATAAAGAGAAGTAGGTAAATTTTGTACGGAGATTACGAATTGAAACTCTTAATGATCAACATCTGTATGTTTGGTGTTATAGTAGCCATTTCGTGAATTCGCATGTAGAGATACAAAGTCACAGGTAGTGATGTAATCCATTGTTGACGCAGTTATAACATTCACTTGACTCTTTACAACTAATTTCTCCACCATCAGAAAATATAAGTTGCCTGCAATTCATATTTATAAAGAGATAAAGCTCCATTAAGTCATAGAGTTTGTAGCGCCCTCCTCCTGGGCACAAATGTAAAGCAATAACTTTGTTAAACTTGCAACCGCCACCCTTGTGCAGATATATGTTTAATGCTATACTTTAGCTATATAAAAAATACTAATTACAAAAAGAAAACATTTACATTTAACGTAACTACAAATAAGAACTAATATAATCGAACTAGTTTCAAATAGCCTAAAGAACTACATAAAAGTTAATCCATCCGTTTAATTTGGAAGCTACCCTACGACGACATAGACAAATAAAATAAAAATTTTACTACCTGCATTTTTTTCGATTAGTAACTGTTAAAAATCATATATTCAGGTCAACAAAAATTATTACTCAGTCTCTACTTCAATTTCTACTTCCCATATAATTAAAATGAAACTTTAAATTCCTATTATTTATTTAAAATATATACTATTAATTTTTTTTTTAAATCTTATTAAACGAAGATCAGGATATATAGATTAACCCCTTTATTTGTAAAATCTAAAATCTTCTATAAATCTATTTTAATTTATATATTGTTTTATCATATTCTTTCAAATTGAGAATTTAATTCGAAAGGAACAAAACGGTTTTAATAGCTAAAATAGGTTTATAAGAACTTTGACGTTTTTATGAATAAGAGATTATTCTATTACCTTTCGCAGAAACAATACTAGGCTATATTAGAATTTGGTTCCTTTTGCTTATCCTGCAAGAAAAGAATGAAAAATAGCAAAAAAAAAAAAGGCAAATCAACCACTTTAACTCAACCGCTTCGAATAAAAAAAGTTTTTAAACACTCTATGCAACAGAGTAATTAAATTTCGAAATTGAACACTTTAAACTGACTCTTTTATAATATTAGTCGATATCGATACTTTGAACAAAAGTATGTTAGGTATAAATTGTTGTAGAGTACTATAAATATTCATTTATTATGTTAATATTTTTAGTTGATTGCATAGATTCATTTTTATAGGTTGAATTATAAGAAGGGCAGTGTCGACTCCTGTGGATTAAATTAATAATATAGACGATTGATCAGTCTATCAGTCGTTAGTAGACAGTCTCTCTAATCTGTTATCGGTAGTCCCTAAATATTCTCTGTAATCTGTGGTACCTCATTATTTAATAAATATTACTTTGTAGGTATTCGATTTATTAATTAATTTATTCATTTTGGATAATTAATAGCTAACTGTAAAATATTCTATTATTTTTTAGAAAAAGTTATGTGTTTGAAATGTTTCAGAAATTAAAAAATATTATCTAAAATGAGATGGACGGTGCACATCGAAGGTGGTCCGATGCGTGTAAATCATGCAGCGGTTTGCATTGGAGATAAAATATATTCCTTCGGTGGTTACTGCTCTTCTGAAGAATATAAAGACTGGGAGCCAATTCCTGTTCACGTACTAGATACTACAACTTTGAGATGGGCCCCGGTTAACTATAAAAAGAACAACCTCGTACCATTTCAAAGATATGGACATACGACTGTAGCTTACGGACATAGAGTAAGTTTTTAAACATTTTACCATTATATATTTTAATAATGTGTAGAAGTAATCATAAAAGCTCTACTGATGTCACTCTTCCATAAATGTAACCATTGATCAAATCTAAAGATATCTACTGATCAAATATTTGTACAAATTATATTTTTTTGTAATATACATTACTTCCTGGTATGTACTTAGTTATAAAGTTGGCAAATAACTCTTAATTTTAGGTTTTCATGTGGGGAGGCAGAAATAATTCAGTGGCCAGTGAAACACTATCCTGTTTTGACACAAAAACATTAGAATGGAGTACACCTCCTGTATCAGGAATGGTACCTTATGCTAAAGATGGGCATTCAGCATGCATCATAAAAAATAAAATGTATATTTTTGGAGGTTTTGAATATTCTAGTGACCAATATTCACAGGAAGTTCACTGTTTAGATCTGGATACTTTAAAATGGACATTCATTGATACCCGAGGTTCTCCTCCATCTTATCGTGATTTTCATACTGCTGTTGCCTATGGTGACAGAATGTATGTATTTGGTGGGCGGGGAGGTGGTGACTTTAGCCCATATAACAACTTAGATGAAGAATACTGTCCCAAAGTATATTACTTAGATACTGTTGAACAGAAATGGGTAGTTACTAATCCCACAGGTACTTGGCCAGAGGGCAGACGCAGTCATTCAGCTTGTAAGTACAATATTTCATTTAAAAATTTAATATTACTGTTGAATGTCTTTAAATATAATAGTAATATTAATTTTTTTTATCAGATTAGAAGTAAAATCTCTGGTCTCTGCCTAGAGTGAAATAATTATTTATTTTTAAAATTTGCAATTTCTAGGGCTTCACAATGATTTCATGTATATTTTTGGAGGTTTCAATGGAGATACCAAAACTCATTTTAATGATCTGTATAGATATTCAATAAAAGAAAACTATTGGGAACATATTAATGTAGGTGGTTTTGTCCCATGCAAGAGAAGACGTCAGGCAAGTTTAATCTATAAGGATAAAGTATATCTTTTTGGTGGAACAAGGTATGTTAGTGTTTATTTAAAACAGTTACTAGTAAATTTCTGTGAATTGGTTCATATATTATTTATGGTATTTACTAAGCTACTTATAAAATCTTGACCAGGATGCTACCCTTATACAAGTAATAATACTACTATTACTTATATTAAGCTACTCTTACATGCCACTTGTTATATTCTGTGGTTCTGCACTCTTGAATTGTAATAAAATATATTCTGTGTTAATCTATGATAAGAATAACATCCAAATATTGTTCAAAATTATAATAGGTTTTATTTCAATAAAGGATTATGTAAATAAAAATATTTGCAGTCCCTGCCCTCACACAAGCAATCGTCCAATTGTGGATGACACAGATAACCCAGAGAGATTGATAGACAATAGTGATCTGCACCTGCTAGATTATTCTCCGACTCTCAAGACCCTTAGTATTCTCTGTGTACTTGAACATCAGCTTGATCAGTCATCTCTACCACGTGATATTATGTAAGTGCTGTGCTATAAATAATGATAAATTTGTATTTTTTTATGATTTTGCCTCTGTCCACTCTAATTTCGGCCATCAACAAATAGTGATTGGATATGTTGCAATGTTTTGCTTACATGGCTTAAATTTTCATTTCATTACATTTATTTATTTTGTGATACATAGGTAGATAACAACAGATGCTAATACATTGCATTGCTTACATAAATCTTTTGCATTTCTTTACTTACATCAGCATAGAGCTAAATAAATAAAAACATCAGATATAATAATAATAAAAGTATAGAGACATTGGTACTATAGTCCTCAGGAATGAAGGCAACTGTTATGTTCATGGTGCTGTTCAAATCTATAGGTGATTGTTATCACTTTCCATTAAAAAGGCCATATATTTGCTTGCCATTCCAAATGTGCCTTAGGTGCTTAGGAATAGATAATGTCTAATATTACGTAGTGATTTTCATCTCCGGTTTTTTCTTTTTTATAAAGTAGAAATGAACAATACATAAAAAAAAATCACACGACCATCATCACTAATAAGGTAGTTAAAGGCATAAATCGATTGTTATGATGAACTACTACACTATATACCTCACATTTCGCTTTAGAATCCTACATGGTGGTTCAGTAAAGATTTAAATGAAATTGTTGGTTTTAAAAGTTCTTAAAAATAAAAAGTGATGATTATTATTTTATTTTAAAAACTTTAAAATTTAGCAAAAAAATTATTATTATTAAGAAAGTACATTTATTTCTCACTATTATTTCTATTACAGATTAGATATTCAGATGATGACTCTTCCAAATCGAATCAGCAGACCCAATAACCAAGCCGGTTGAGACTTGTTACTAAATGAAGATGCTTTGAGGAGTTTATAAGTTATATGCTATGATCTGCAATATTGGGATCGATTCTGAGGCGCCATTCTACAATCCTATCTGTAAAATTCATATTTTAATTTGATAGTTTCACTTAAGTATTATTTTATGAATCATTATAAACCAAATTTATAATATTTTTTACTTAAATCTATTAAATATTTAATTCTTATTAGTCCTAAAATTAAAATTTCCTAGTGATATTAACTTGAAATATTAATTTTAGAAATAGGTTTAGAGAAATGTCGCCTCACGATTGATCTCATTGTGTAATAAAAATATTATTACACATTTTAGTGTTAAAAAATACATATAAATCGTGTTTAAATAACATTGCTGTACTTCTGTAAGATAGTCTGAAACTGAAATATTTTTTGCCATTGGATGCTTTTATAATTTATTATATCATTGCATAACAAACTTTATTCAAATTTATTATTTTAATTTTTCGCAATGATATCGTGGTTGTACTCGTAAATTTTAAAAATGTATATTATCGCATTTTATTTGAATTGAAAGTTCTTCTGCTGCGACTCGATTCTTGTAATTAAACCCGCCATGATATCGTTGCGACTCATTATAATACCTCCTTTATTAATTGTTGATCCCCTGGTACATAGAAACTAAAATCTTTTATAACTATTGTTTTGATACTTCCTTTCCAATTTGAAATTAAGTGCAAAAGAAAAAGACAATTTACGTTTTTATGAAAAGAGGGGAAGTGTGTAAATATATACACATCATAATATATGATTATGTACTAAAAATCAACGATTTATGTTTATAATCAAGCTACTATCCATCTTAATGTACTTTTAGAACAGAAAATATGTTTAAAGCAATTTTTTTATACTGTTTTGTATGTATGTTGCCTGCATAACATGCTAACTTACTTAAAATGTAAACTTACTAATGAGTATATAGAAATTTTTGCAGTCATTTTTACGGATGTAGATATTGTTCAAAACCACACATAGAATTAAATATATGCTAAAAATTTGGCAACAACTGATTTTAACTTAAAAATGATTATGTGCAAATGGAACTTGTTTCTCAAAGAGTCAACCATTGCGAAATATGTTGTTACTTATATATTATGCATGTTTTGCTATTCAATGTTTTTAATTATTATTTGTTAAAATACGGAATACTGTTGTTGTATGATTAATTTTTATTTGAGTTTTAGAATTGCAGTGCCAAATTATATCTATGATTATTAACTATTATTTTGGATTATAGTATATTTATTAAATAAAATCGCGGCATCCATTTAGATCTATTTGTGAGCTGAACTAAAATGTTTATATAATTAATATACCGATATGAATATACTTTTTGCTTCCTTTTTGTAATTATCCTTACTAATTTTAAATTTATTCACTTTGTTACATTGTCAGTGCATGAAATCTATCTTACATTATATCAAATATTAAATAAAGGCAGGAGAATAACTAATCTGTGTTAACAAATCAAAACTATTATTATATATTTTGTATGAAATATTATTATTAACAATCAATTCACTCATCTTCTTTAACAACATGCTTTCTACGTTCGGGAACGTGTGGTACAGCTCCAGGCTTACTATGAGCACGTCTATTGGCTTCTTTCCTTTTAGCTTTCTCTTTAATCGTTTTGAGTTCTTTCTGTGAATTGTAGACGTGTTTTGGAACATGTCTATGTCGCGCAATCCGTCTTATTTGTGGATGATTTGCAAATTTATCTTTCAAAGCATCTGCATAATTTAATGCAGTACGTTCACGAGGCTTAAGCTAGAAATTGAGAAATATATTATTAGTATTAGGCCATGAATAAAAAATATGCTTACAAATTGTGTCCTAGATTAACAGTCAAAGGCAGGTAAATTATTTTATATATCAAAATATATGCATACTTATTTAATATAAATGACTTCCTTGTACAAATAAAACACCAGCCTATCTATACTATTTATTATACCTACTTCATATATTTATCTTGGCATGTTTTATTAAAAACATTGCACAAAAAACCTTTTTAATCCAAGTGTTTGTTCCTTTTATACAATATTATTTTGATAAAAAGATGCCAAGCTCAGTATTAAAATTTATAAAAATATCACAAACATAAAGGTACTTACAACACCAAGTTTTTCTGAAGCTTTTGCTTTCCACAGTCTTATGTTCATTTCATCAGATCCTGAGAGTATATATTTGTTATCCAGTGACCACTTTACGCATGTTAATCTCTGCATCCTCTTAGTGTGGTAAACATCTCGAGAGTGTCCTTTAAGACTCTCAAATATCCTTACAGTTTTGTCATAACTACCAGCAACAAATTCACGGCCAGTGGGTGAATAGTCCACATCTATTACAGCTGATGTGTGGTCCATATGTATATTTACTGGATATTTTAATTTTCTAACATCAAATGTATATAAACTGAAAAAAAGGTATGATTATTGATATTTTTCTCCTAAATAACATATAAATGACCCTGGATTATTGTATAGTATCCTCCAGGACAGATGACAAATAATAATAATTACTTACATAGTAAATAGCTAAATAAATCTCATTCAAAATTATATTTTTACAAAAATAATGTACAAGATCTTTAATGAATGATAACCCTACCTGCGCTAATGTTATACACTGGTTGGGCACTAGTGAGGGATGAGATTAGACAGTAAAGGCAGGTCTGTTAGCCCATAATGATGAATACACCTAGAATTCAGCATTGATGGTTTCCAGGGGGACCATGTCTGCTTTACTAACAAACCATGTAGAAGATCACAGGTGTTACCTTCTTACAAATGTCAGCTTAAGTGTCATGCACAAAAGCAAAATTATATCCTATTACTTTGCTGTCTGTCCATTCAACATCCATATTATATTCATATATAATAATATGGATGTTATGAAAATAATAATTAAATGGAACTTACTTATAGTCTTCATTAGCTACAGTAAATATAAAGGCTTCCATTGGATTCCATGAGAGTGCATTTGACCTTAATTCTAACACTACTTTCCTCAAAGGCCCTGATTCTCTGCAATCATACAATATAATACTTCTGTCACTTGCACAAGATGCCAATAAATTGGTTTCAACCTGCAACAAAAAAAAAATTGTTATGAAGTCAACAATGGCTTTACAATATCAATATCATATTAAAATTGAAAAATTATGACAGCCATTTATTATCTATATTTAATAAATCACATTCAATTGTTATAGAACAAATAATATATTTTTTATATTTATTAAATTTGCATTCAAGAGTTATAATATACCAATAACTCATTAACTTGAAATAATATAAAACATTATTATTCATAAACATATTAAACACAGATGTGATTTGATTAAAACAATCGCGTCGCCATAGCCGCGACAGTGGATTTAATGTTAGCATTTTAATGTCGCAAATACGGCGACAATGGAGGGCAAAGGGTTTAAATATTATATAATTTGATTAGTGAACATAAAAACCTCTAATATTACCACTATAAATGCTGTACCTGTTTCAATCCATTATAATAGCAATTACATTGACTTAATGACTGGTCTATGCATACTCATGAAACAGTAGTGCCATATGAGATGAAGAGTACTGCTAAATTATTTTTATTATTATATCAGCCATTGTATACTGTCGACTGTTGAATAGGCCTCCAATTGGGGAAAATAGATTGGCATGCACAGTTAAACTGGCAATGTTTTAATGATTTTATTTAATGTTAAATACTCTTTGTCACCTCCTATGACACCCACAGAAACAGAAGGGATATACCATTTTATGCTGGAAACACATGGCTAATTTACATAAATTACTGCTAAAGTGATGTAGTAAATTTATCAAGTGAGTTCTTAACTGTTAAAGTATTAAACCAAAAATTATCATGATATTAATTAATAATGCTAATAATTGTGTCCTGCATCTGTTTTTTTTTTTATAACACACTGGCAAACGGCTATGCTCATCTGATGGTATGTGACAATTTTATGTTTTCACAACACTGAATTGAATATTTCCCAGATATATTGTAACTGGTAATTAATGGCATAATTAGAAAACAATTTTATTATTTCAATTAATAATATTACAGTTAAAAGGCACCTACTTAATTAATGAATATATACTTACTACTACTGTATACCTACTACTATATTAATACTATTGAACCTAACCTAACCTAACAATCCTCTATAAAAGGGATTGTTAGTATTGGAGACTGAGAATCCTATTGCTAGCAATATACCCAACCAGGTCAACCTCCTCGCGGTTCCCCCTGGAAACTATCATGGTTAATTCCTGATGAATTCATCATGATGGGCTAACTGGCCTGTTTTTATTCTCATCTATCACCCTTCACTGGTGCTCCGCCAGCGTATCCCATTAGCGCAGGCGGGGTTACCATACCATTTTCACCCATTAAAACAATCCTCTATAATTTAACTGATAATGCACCCAAATAACTAAGTAATGAAGGTTTGAACCAGATCAGATCAAACAACTGTACAAAACATTTTAAAACCTATATTTAATAAACTATGACAGTACTAAAATATACCTGGTTAAAAGCAACATGATGAAGACTGTCTACACCCCATTTGAAAACCTTGATAGGTTCATTTCTAGTGTTTTCCCACAGTTGGCAATGTTCCCCACATGTGGCAAAAATAGGTTTAGATCTGTGATGAGTCACACCACTAACAACTGACATGCTGAGTAATGTGTTCACAGGTTCCTCATCATCTGACAACTGGATTTCAGACTTCCATGTTTTTATAGTTTTATCATCACCAACACTTGTAAATGTGTCTCCATTTGGTGTGTAACAAATAGCACGCACCCAACCCTCATGTGCAACAAAATTTCTTGTACATTTGCGTACTGCTAAATCCCATAATCTGATTTCTCCATCAAATGCTCCACTAGCCAGGACTGCAAGTCTACTGGGATGTTTAGCCATAGAAGAAACTCCATCTCTATGGCCATCAAGGTTGCCAATAAAGGGTTTTGCAAATACTCTTTCTAGCTTGACTGCATTCAATGCTCGCACATATTCTCTTGGAGCTTCCATAGGATGAAGACTGGGGTCATAATTTCTAGGCACTGAAAATACAAATAACTAATTATATGAAATGTTAATATAATAACTAATAAGTAAACTGTTTATAAAATTTATACTCAAACTGATTTAATAAAAAAAAAAATTGCTACCCTCTTTTATATACTTTCTTATATTATAACAATGATAATATGTACAACATTGTATTTCTCAAAAGATGTCTATATAATTAATAACTACTTAAAACTAGGTGTTAGTAAGTAACTAATGGTCATACTTTCCACTGACTTTTTACATGCTTTATGCTCTCCAAATGCCAGAGAATTATTAATGAGATTATTCTGAAATACAGTGGTACGTCGACATACGAGTTTAGTTTGTTCCGTAATCTTGCTTACATGTCACATTGCTCGTATCTCAAAGCAATTTTACTCATTGAAATGCCATTAATTCGTACTCCCATAAAACCACCTCAATTGTTTTTAAGTGTTAGTCTAAGATGGGAAAAACTGTTAGATACCAACATCAAACTCTGTTGGGGTCGTGTGCAGCGGTGTAGTGTACGATTTCTCATATCTCAAATCTTGCTCTTATCTCAAAGCAAAATATCGCTTGCTCGGGGCTCGTATATCAAAACACTCGTTTATCAAGGTACTAGTGTATTGTACAATTTTTGTTGTGTTAAATATTGTTTCCTTAATAAAAAATTTAATACTTACATTTATGAATATCTTTTTTTGTGGCACGTAAATAATCGTCTGGATTACGACTAATTACCTTAATTTTTACTTTCGACATGATTGTTCTTTTGAAATGTTTTATGTATTCTTTAGCGTATATATTTGTACAATAGTAATTTGTGTAAATTATGAGCCACGTTTAATTGAAAGAGTCTCGGTAAGAAAGTGTATAGAAATTAATACCTTTACTATAACTAAATAATCACCAAATTAATAAAACATTTAAGACAATGAAGTTAGGTTAAGAATCTGACATGGCACATGGTTGTGACATTGACTGATTATTTGATTGACATAAGGACAGATTCTAACTGTTGACAGCGCAACTGTGACAATTACACGACAGTCCAAGAACACAGACCAAGTAATCACTAAACGAAAATTTCAGACTAAGCTACAAAAGACTTCAAACCACAGAGTAAATATTACCTACTATAAATAACTTTTTATTTAAGAGTTGTCAGTACCCTTATATTTACAAATTCATTCAATAATTCTATGTAATCACTTGTAAGTACCAGCACGGAGAGTACTCAAATGAAATACATATATTCCTTTATTCCTGTAGGCTACCAACCTATTTCAAACCTACGTAGGTGTGGAAAAATAAATAGTGAAATTCTTGACAATTTTCTTGTCTTAGCAATTAATTTTTTTATTATCAACTATACAGTCTCGTACTAAATTTTTCTTTCTCTCATTTCTTCTGAATTTATATATATATAAAGAAGCTTACATTTACAGCCTCTTTCTCATATTACACTATAATCTAGGATACATTAGCGACTATTATACGGTGAAATATTCGTGTTTGCATACAAATAAGTCTTTCAAGTCTTACATGAACTATACTGTTGTAATATTGGAGTATGACCTTTCTCATAGCATATTACACATTGTCTCTCAGGACAGCGTGAACAAATGTCATGCTATTATCAAAAAATAAGTTTTTTTTATACTTATTATAATACTTACCAGCTGACACAGTAAATGTTGTTTCGACCCCCTGCCGCCAGCTATTGGGTCTATTTTTCTTATCGAAATTATTTCTTAAGTTTGAGCAAACCGTTCATATTTATAAAATTTCAGAGATTAGTATGAACAAGCATGATCACACTGGATTTTTTATATATTACGATGTATCAATGCAAAATAACGATTTTAATTCAATAGATATCATTAAAACATAGGTACTTTCCAGTGAACAATTTTCAAATTCAATGAACTACTTGCATAGAATTCATACAAACTGTCTGTTATTTGAAGTGACGTATTCCTGTACAAAACTTGACTGTCTTTTGAGTAAATATAAATATATTTTCAACTTATTATAAACAAAATTTGAAAAATATAATAAATTATATAATTGTAATATAAATTATTTCTTATGTTTAATTTAAGAAGTAACGCACTGCTGTTAATTTGCATTTTACTGTAAATTCTAAACACATGAGAGAATGATGAGAACGAACAAACAGGACAAATAAAAAATCGAGGCTTAAAAGAGAGAAATATTAGGTGAGTGCTGAAAATTGTTTTAATGGGTGAAAATGAAATGGTAACTTCGCTTGTGCTATCGGTATACGCTGACGGAGCTCAAGCGAGAAATGATAGGTGAGGATGAAAGCAGGTCAGTTGCTCATGGCGACCAATTCGACAAAAAATAAGCATGATGGTTTCCAGGGAAAACAGTGTGGAGGTCGACCTGACAAATATGAATTTATTAGAACCCATAATCAACAATCCCTTTCCCCCAAAAGTTTTTTTAATAACAAGCTTTTGGCCTCCATTCTTAATTTTTAGAAGCAGAAAAACCAATGAAATAAATCAGGAGTGTCAAGATAGGTTTAAACTTTTTAAATATTGCAATATAACTTTAACTATGGGAACCACACCCAATTAGGTGCAGTAGTTTTTGTGAGAAGCTGAAACAAAAGCCAAAAGTTCTAAAAATTCTAGATTCAATGTTATCTAGTTACATATATATATATATTTTGAAATATTATCATTTATAAAATATAATATTTGAACATATCTTTTTATTATTAAGAGTTCTAGATTGTGTTAGTACATTATTTTATTTTGTTACCCTTATGGGTCAGTGAGAGTTAGGAGTGATGTATCTAACACAAAAAATAAGCAATTTAAAATGTTTAAAATAATTTATTACTATCTTTATGGTGACTAAAATAAAGACAGTGCTATACTTGAAACCCTTAGCCAGTCATAAACAGTTATATAGTTTGTTCATTTACTGACACCAAAGATTAGTAACTATACAACTAAGCTTAAAGAAAGAAAAAAGTAAGTTTATTTGAAAACTTCTGAAAAAATTAAAATGCATAGAATTCAGTGCAATAAATCAACTCATGGAAATCACAACATTTTTTTATGTATTCCTTAACCTTGGTCACTACTATATTAGAGATATTCTAATTCTTTTTTGTTGCTGTTCTTTTACTAAATTATAAATGTGAAAAAAGAAATATTACAAATTTTATATTTACATTATAAAATTTGTTAAAAATTTTATATTTACATTATAAAATTTGTTAAAAATTTTATAAAGTTTTATCAGGAACTAAATAATTTCTTAGAAATACTAACTTTTTTATCAGATTTCCAAGTAAAGAAACTTCAATAGTATACAACTATAGGGTTTGAATAATCTATAATAAAAGCCCTAAACTATCTATTTTCTTTTGTTTCCAACTCAGAAATACACAGGTGTCTGAATATTTATTAATACTACAATAAAATAAAAATTTGTAACTCAAAAACTGAATATGTGAAACTGAAGACTAGAAAACCATCTGATCAACCTAGAATCTATAAAACTAAATGAAAAGAAGATAATTCACATCACACAAATGTGGTATCTATTGAAATCCACATTTGTCAGCTTAGATTTATGTTCATCTTAATCTGTGATTAACTTTTAATCTTCTGCAGAGCCTGTTTCAAAATTATCTCATTGATGTAGTTGGTTTAACACACTCTTTTACCTTCTAAAGGTTCACTTTGGAATCAATCCCCATACACAGTAAACATTTGTATTTCTGGTTGTCCATTGTATTGACTAATAAATAAAATGGAAGAGGTTTCTAAATTGTTTATTAGCACTATAAACTACAGTAACAGAGTGATTTATAAAATCTACTGTTATAAAATTGATTATCCTGACTATAAGCATACAGTCCAAAATCATTCACTAAGAAAGGATTTTTGAAAATTTCAACTTCAAGATGGCACCACATGTATATGCATTTGCTAGTGTTTTTAAATAAACATTTCCCACAGCAACAGAACACCCTTTACTTTTCATTATCATAGAAATTTTGTAGTTGTTTCTTAGTATTCATTATGTGTATTGTGTATTTAACTGCAAAGAAACTGCCAAAAGTACATTTTACTATTATGAGTTAATGTAAACGTTTTCAATCTTATGAAAATAGTATGTTTAAGATTACTTTAAAACAATTTATAATAAATATGTACTAATCTACTTAGTTTTTTTGATGTGTGAAAATGGTATGGTAACCCCGCCTGCGCTAACGGGATACGCTGGCGGAGGAACAGTGAAGGGTGATAGATAAGAATGAAAACAGGCTAGTTAGTCCATCATGATGAATTCATCAGGAATTAACCATGATGGTTTCCAGGGAGAACCATGAAGAGGTCGACCTGGTTGGGTATATTGCTAGCAATGGGATTCTTAGTCTCCACTACTAACAATACCTTTCCCATAACCTACTTAGACCAGGTTGTAAGAGATTGCATTACATTCTGTATAAATATTCCTTGTATACATCTCTATTGTGCACTATAAAGAGTTTATTATTATTATTAGTTAAAAAATACTTGTAAAATGACCAAAGTTGGTCTGATTCATATTTAACGGAAGAAATAATACATCGTCATCATTTCTGCTATCAATTATCTATTACTATTAATTTGTCTCCCTCGTATATAGCTATAAAAATGGTCCTGAGCCACCTAAACTGCATCCATTGATCCCCTACCGTTTATTTAAAATCGTCGTTCTTTCTTACTTATATATTCGCGGCTTCAGAAAAATCATTTCCATTTACACCGACTAAAATCTTCGAGTACTGGCAGACTGTACTCAAGATATACTGTGAATGATATTGACCTTTTAGAAAACTGTATTGTAATAGTATTTTTATTTGCTCTGGAGAAAAAAATCGCAGGAGTCCATTTACAAACTCCACATAATGCGAATGAGAATTCTTTGGCGAACACTTATCGCCAAAGAATAGGTACACCATTATTCGTTAGTAATGCGACAATAAGAATGCTAGATCATATACTACTCCTCGAAATATTCTTTATTGTACATTCGGGCAGTACAAAAATGAGAGAGAAACTAAATTTACCGTATCGTAACAATATGAAATGTCCTTGTGAAAGCGAATTGTGTTTCGTTCATCCCATAACCTCGCCCGCTTATTCATAGGCGTGGATTTTAGAAATAGGAAAACTAATAAAATATCCCCCATCTAGATTATATCTATATTTTGATCTGTACTTCATGTTACTGTATTCCATTGACAATGGTCATTGTATATTTTTATATTTTTGATGAAATAAAGAGTTTAATAAATAAATAATAATACTAGTTTTTAAGTTAGACCTTCGAGAATACAACTGTGAAAACCGCATTCAATTTGATGCAGTATTTTTTTTGCGTGATGCCGGAACATACAGACAAATTTCTAAAAAATATTGTTTTGGCATATATAATGGTTATTAAAACCTCTCATATTTATTTGCCTAAAATATTTCCTCATTCTATTATACAGATATCGTCTAGTTTCAATTTTATTATATTAGTAAGATTTGATTAGCCACGAAAAAACTATGTTCCAAACATTTATGTTGATTGTTCTTTTCTCCATGGGAGTCAATGAACAACGAGCGCCAAAACCGTTGTATATCCATTGTAGCTGATTTGTAAGTTAATGAACCTTTAAATACAACGACGTAAAATAGTCGCTATTAATGCTTCAAATCCGGCTAAGAATCATATAAACTTTGCTGTTTTTCTCCAAATATGGATATCGCTTGGATACGAATATTATGCATAAATTACTGAAGTGGTATACATTAAGGGACAAGTCGATGTTTGTGTGATAGCTGATAGGTCACCGGCTCGTAACTAGCTTCTGAACATTCGAGTAGAGTCGTGGAGCGTAGTGATATTTCGTACGTTGATCAGCCGAGTCGCGACACGCAGCTGCTGGCTGCTGCGCTGGCGCAAACATTTCTAAATGTGTCGGTAACCCTGTGCGGTATATTTCACTGTAAATCTCATATACACTTTGTCCTTTTTTATAGTGAATTATCACTGATATTATATCTTAAAATATTAGGTAAGCTGATCTTTTCTTAATTGCAATAAATTAATAATTTACTATATTATATTATTAACTGGTATTAATTTAAAACATAGGAAGTAAAGACGGTAATATATAAGTATACATTGTTCTTACATATGTACGTACATGTATTTACTGTTTAGTGTAGTCATTAATACAGTAGTTATATGAAACGTATTTAATTAATTACTTATATGCAAATGTAAATATTTTCAGTACATACTAAATATTGAAAATCCTGTAAAAAAATACACTTATTGTACATGTTTCTTTTTTTTAATTTTACGAACAATATGATTAGATATCGCTTGACTATTTCAGCCTATGCTCTAAATATCGCATCATTGTTTATCATTAAAAATAATTGATATTGCCACCAGTCGGAAACCGGGCCGGGATGTGTTTTACGCACGCTTTATATGTCACGTTCACATGTCTCATGAATTTTTAGCGTTATTTAACTGCACTATAGGCACTATTTTGCAATGATATACCAACTAGAAATCTGGTGATTGTATCATTTCTCATGTAATTCTGACTTTTGTGTGAGTGATGTACTCGTACTTACATGGAGTAAGGATAGTGCTGGCATTCTCATTCTACGCTAATGTAGGTATTTAATATTTATATATATAAAACAACTTATATACGTAGGTACAGTAGGTAGGTATATACATTATATTATTATTATGTGAGCTCTTAACTGTCCACTGCTGGGCATAGGCCTTCACCATAAAGGGATTTTTGCCAGTAGCTGCCACGTTTGCCAGGCAGGTTGGCAGTCGCAGTTAAGCTTTGGTAATGTTTTAAGGAGGACGCTACTGCTCATCTCTCGACCATTAAGTTCCCTTGTCACTTCTTACGATACCCATGGGAAAAGTTGTGGCCCATTCTATGCCGGGACTACATGGCAATGTACAAATGTAATGTAAGATATGTACATATATATAGTATATTGCATATAGATATTATAAAATACAGTATTATTAAATCATCTTTTTAATACACAGATATCAACTGGCATTTCACATACCTACCTGCAGCAAAGAAACTACTAGAATACAAAGTAGAGTACCTACATAGGTACCTACTTTGTATTCTAGTAATTTCTAAACTGATTTCTTGATTATATTTAAAGTTAAGTAACTGTAAATGTAATTAGATAGGCACATAACGCTGACACTGGTGTATGAAATTTCTATTAAACTCTTTTACCTATATTGTATCGTAGTTCGAGATGTCTTTTATATATAATATTGGTAATATTGGTTGTATCCCTTCTAGGTTTCTTATTGTAATTTGGAATTTAAATCATCTATTCTGTTATAAAAATAGGTGAACTGACCTTTATTATGCCTACAACACCGCATCTTTGATACCGCAGAACCACTAATTTCTAGTTCTCTTAGGTATTAATTGCTGTCACTGCCTACATTTGGGGTGTATTGCGAACACAGACTTAAGATATTAAGGTATAAATATGAAATAATAAACATTTATTGGGCATAAAATAATTTCAAATGAAAAATATTTAAATCATAGGTCCCTATCTCAGCATGGAACCAGCAAGAGCAAGTACGTTACTCATTATTGGTAACATTAATTAATATTCTGTCAGGCCCCTTAGTGATGTCACGGATACCGCAACACAAGAGCTGCATTTATTTAGTGCTTTATCATTCACGACCACACAAATGATCTCAAACATATTTTCATTGCATTCAACGTGCAGTACAGTCGGAAAGTAACGGTTTAGGTATTTTCACACTCGTATAGAGTTAAACTGGTAGGAATGAACTCACAACAATAAAAGCTTCGTCACTCACCAAGATAATTTTATGGACACCTACTATGGACCGTATTGCTTTACAATAAGGCTAAAAATTTATGAAAACAAATATTAGCTTTTCATTCCTTTGTTGACGGTACCTGTTATTTATAAAGTCCGTGTAAATAGGTAGAGCGAGGCGAGGTCTCCACTCACGTGAGCCTAAAATGAGTAGGAAGGGGCAAAATCTCATCAAATCTTATTTATAGGGGTCATTAAAAATCTCACGTCGACTTTTTTTCTTTTTTTAATGTGTATTATGTATATATATACGAGTATATGTATTTGAATGTAGCAAAATAAGTAAATCGTGTTGATTTATTATTTGTTCGATAAATTTAATTATTTAAAATGCTATTGTTAAATCTCACATAAGAAGTTTTTAATGGATGGTAATGGTGAATGTTAACTCCGCTTGCGCTATCGGTATATGCTGGCGGTGTACGAGTGATTGATGATAAATTAAGTTCATCTTCATCTACCACGAGGATCACGAGGACGTCGAACTGGCAGGGTATATTGTTACCCCGTTAACATAAAGTTGTAGAAGTTGCCACATCTAACCAAATCTCATAAATAATTAGGAGTTCAAATTTTAGAAAAAAATCACATAATTGAGGACGTTTCTTTAGGTCATGCCAACCTGTCTTAAGACAATTATAAGAAATGTTAAATGTAATTAATATAATAAACTTAAGTCGTTAATTAGTACAATTTATTTACTGTTTCAGTTTCAACAAAATGGTTCCTGGTATGTGTAATATGTTGTCATTAATATGTTATCTATTTGTGTCGAATATGGTTTTTATACGAGCCGAACTATTCACCGCCATATCAGAGATGGAACCTCTATTGGAAACACACAAAAGGATCATAGACGATTTAGATGATTACGTAGATAAGGAAGAGAAAAGGCTAATGACCTTAAAGAAGTAAGTCCTTAAATAAAATATATATGAATACAAAATATACCTATAAGTTTTAATAAAAAAACAAGTTTTTGTGTGTTTTAGTCTTTAAGGAAAATAATATTTGAAACGGTCATGTACCTATCGTATGATATTTGCTAATAATATTGTAACACTGTACGTATTATAATAACTGCGAAACCAAAATTTGAGTAAATGAAAAGCATTATCTAACAACATTTTATTTATTTCAGACATTTGATTCTGTACAAACGAGAGCACGAAAAGGCATTGGAAGATATCCCAAATTATTTGGGCAACCCCATAAATGCTTTCACTCTCATAAAAAGACTGACTACAGATTTAGATCATATAGAGCATAGTATTAAAATAGGGACAGGTATGATATTTATTTTATTATTATTAAAATGTACTTGTTGGAATTGCAAATACATGTAACAGAGAATGTAGTCATTTTATTGGATTAAGTTAACTTATAAAAACTAATCTGTATCCACTATGAAGATAGATATATTTTGCACACAGCGTTTTAAAATTATTGATCCAATTTTTATAGGTATATAAGTAGGTATGACACAACACTTACAAATTTAAATAGTTGTTTCTTCAACGTAATTAATTAAAAAAAATGTCTACGAGTAAATACTGTTCTCCTATGCTCCTATGCTCCTTGCATAACCAAAAACTTCAACGAAATAACTAATGTACTTATTTTAGCTTGTGCACCCATATATATTCGTTGGTTGTCTAATGACTTTAGATATTTTAGATTATAATAATAATAATAATAATTCTTTATTTAATAACAATTCACACCTAGTTACATCTACTAGCCACCGAACTTTAGCCTGTATCTCAGTGGTTAGTTAAAAATTGACTTAACATAAGACGGTACAATCTAAAACATAAAACTCATTTGCAATGTTCAATTTACTTTTGGTGCAACATTGTTAAATGTGGGTAGCATCATATTATTTACTTACAATTACGATTAACAGTTTACCCACCTAATGTGCAATATTATTTGCCGGTCATATTAGCAACCACATAAAGTATTGACTTAAGACAAATATTAATAAATTAATTTATATTATAGCATAATATTATTTTAAGCAGAGACTAAGTATTGTTAGACATAATATCAAATTTACAATGCGTTTCATTTAGAATAATTCATGATTACATCTATGTTGTTTTTTTGTTAAGCATTCTATGAGTAATGCAGATGAAATATAATTAATTACTATATATGTGTAAGTAGTGTGTGTGTGTGTGTGTGTGTGTGTGCGTGCGTGCGTGCGTGTGTGCGTGTGTGTGTGTGTGTGTGTGTGTGTGTGTGTGTGTGTGTGTGTGTGTGTGTGTGTGTGTGTGTGTGTGTGTGTGTGCACGCGTTATGTGTAAATACAGATTTATTTTTCAATTTACAAATTTACGTTCAAAATATAGTAAGAAATGACTTATTTATTAGTAATTAACAATTGCTCTGTAAATGTATAATCTTGATTTTTAAGCCAATTGGATACCTTTTCCTTGCATTTGTATTTAGTTAGTGAATAGATATTAAGAATTTTGTTTATTTTATTATAAAGAAAAGGAGCTAAAAAAATCTGGAATTTATTACAATAGTGTGTCCTAATTTGTACTGTAGAACATACTTTATCTTTTCTACGAGTAGATAAAATATTAGGATTATATGTTAAATTTATGTGCTGTGTTAATATTGTGTCCAATACAAAGAGCTGTCTAACTGTTAATATCTTATTGAATATAAATCTTTTGTGGGAAATCTAAATGGTTTAAAATTAATAACTTTTAGAAGAGATCTTTGTGCTCTTTCCACAACAAAACGCCCTTATACCGTATGTTAAAACAGAATGGCAAAATATATTGTTTTTATAAGTTTTGGATCAGTAACATCAAGGTTTTAAATATATATATTTATTCTCTCTGTCAATTTGCTAATTTGTGGTTTCCAAGTAAGAGTTTGGTCTAATATGATTCCTAGATATTTTATAGATGTTTGACTGTATAGAAGTGGGCACGTACATAATATATTGTTATTTTCTTTATGACAACTGTTTGAATTTTAAAAATATTTTTATCAGGAATATCATTATTTGTAATAGCAAATGTTATTAACTTAGTTTTGTTTAGATTGAGTGTTAATTTATTTTTATTAACTATGTCATAATCTTTTTGGCCTCTTCCCAATTATCGTATCATCTGCATAAGTAAAAATTTTAACATTTTTTAGTTTTAATTCACATAAATCATTTATATATATTTTACGAGATTTTATCGGTTCTATCTGATAAGTAACAAAAAGCTCGAGAGTCGTTCCTCGTATACCAATTCTATTCAAAACTAAGAATACACCTATGCATTTTTCTTTGCGATCTATATTTACAGCGATAAATTCTGTGAGATTCGATACAGCGTGTAGATGATAATCCCGTCCTAAAACCATATTGATTATCAGATAATATATTTCCTTGTTTTAAATAAGATAAAAGCCGTTTATTAATTACTTTTTCTAATATTTTTGATAGGGATGATAGAATTGAAATTGGTCGATAGTTATCAATTAGCTTAAAACTTATTTGAAAGTATCATAAATATTGCATTATAAGTCTGTACTTGTTGATAATACCCCTCATACATGTTACTCTTAAAGGTTAAAATGTACCCAGAATAGTCTTAAAAAAGATAAGGACTTGAATTTATTTAATGAAAACGAGTACATATATCTATCAGATAGATAACGCCACACCAACCAACCATGTTAAAACCAGATCTTATTCAGAAAATAAGTGTATCGAGAAATTCCATAAATAGATTTACATTGCTCGACTATTAACCAAGGGCTCTATATTGTTGTTTTACATTTTACTGGCATTTAAATAATCTTATGTCTATAAGAAAATTTGTAATAAGAGGTTTACTATGAATCATTGGTATTATCTATCTGCATGTGAAATCTTTTACGAGATTATCGGACAAAACAGTGTATTAAGGCATTAATTACCGACAATATGTATGGTTTCGTTCTATTCGATTTTATTACTCGTCTCATGCATAAACTATTGTATCAGAGCGTCAATTTTTAATATTATTTAATCCTAGATAATTTTACTTAATTAATGATATGCATACACAAAGTCGCGACTGAAACTAGTTATAAATATAATTATTTGACAGATTATATAAAGAACGTGACCATTAATTATGACGACGTGAAATATCCCAGCGAAGAAGACCTCTCAGGAGCTGCGCAGGCGCTGACACGGTTACAGGAGACCTATCACCTTGACGTCAAAGATCTCTCCGAAGGAATATTGAATGGAGTCATTTACAGGTATTAACTGGAACTTTTGACGGTTGCCCTTTGTATGATTCGAAATAGATGGAATCTATTATGATATAATGGCACCATACGGAACTTAGGTTGAGTTCCTTTTAGAATTTTATCCAGTTTCATGAATAAAGTAACTGTCTATATTTCCAACAGTCGTCCATTGTGTTACATACTATATAATGTGTTTAAATGATATAGCTGGTTGTTAATACAATCGTATATATTAAAATATAAATTCAGTGATATAAAACAACATATTTATTAAGTAACCATTTCAAGTCAAAGCATTAACAAAATAAAACATTCGAATTATTTATTTAACTCATCTCAGAGAGAAACTGGTTTTATAAATCATACATACATATTTAATACTGCCCACACTGTTACTGTCATTTGTTTTTACTGCGGTTGGACATTTACATTCCAACTTTGGTTATTTGGTCGTTAACATCTTAAATGCACAGGTTTTAAGGTTGATTTTTAATTATTTTTAGTACGCCAATGACGGTAAGCGACTGTTACGAGCTCGGTCGGTCGCTGTACAATGACAAAGATTACAGTAACGCTCTCACGTGGATGATGGAAACACTACGGAAGTATAAAGAAGAAAATGAACCGTATCCATTTGATGAGGTCGATATATTGGAGTATATTAGTTTCAGTCATTATATGCTGGGTAATAAATTATAATAATACATTATATATATTACCGTTATAAGCGATGTTTACTACTGACTGTTCCCCGTGGTTTGGTCCGCATTAACACTTCCGCTTGAATGAGAATTTCCTGTAACAATCAATATTATTATATTTTTTTATTACACGAAAAATACAGGAACCATTATACTAGTAATTAGAGACAATATGAGCAAAAATGAACGTACCTCTAAAATAGATCTGTTTAAGCCAGTCTAATACAGTAACAAGAATTAGTAGGTAGCAGTAATGCAAAAGTGAAAGAAAAAAAAAGAAAGATAAAACCTAAGATAATGTTAGTTAACATATTTAAGTCAGCTTTTGATCAGTTAGGATTTTTTACTGTAACCCCCACATCGTACAAGAATAGTATAGCCTACCTAGTACAGTAACTAAAAACACAAAAAAACAGTGATTTTACTTAATATAAATGTATGTATATATAAACACATCTCTTTTTAATATTCATATATTTGGTTTTATAGTAATTGATAATATGTACGTTATCTAAACAGTAAACATACACTCGTATGTACCAATAAAAGATAAGATAAACAGTAACATAAAAATGTAATTATAAACAATTTGACTGATATCTAAGTATGATATACACAATGCATATTGATATTAGGAGAAAAACACTTGTACTCTTTTATAAAAAAAGGTTTTATAACTAGTACTTGCCAGCTACTTCGTACGCCTAGATTTCAGAAATAGGAAAACCAATGGAATACACCATTTTTAGATGGCGTATCAGAATAAAACAACCGCATCCAATATGGTGCAGTAGTTTTTCTGTGGTGTGGTGGGATGGTGGTGTGTAGAAGGAACAGACACAAACATTTTAAAAATTATTGTTATGACTTCTTTATTATGATTATGACTTATTAAGACATCTCATATTATTATTTTTTTAATTATTTCCCATATGGGTGGGTACAGATATTGCCTACTTACAATTTTATTATATTTGTAATATGCTTAACCAAATTCGCCATTTAGGTTATTGTCAAAGGTTAATTTTATACTATTTTTATTCCGTTCAATAAATTTTCAAAGGATGGCTAAAAATTAAAAGAAACAAGTGGGACATTTACTAGAAAATACACAAAAAAAATGTGATGTTGCCAACATACTGAAATTAATTGTTTTATTTAGTAGAATAATTTATGATTTAATGTATTCCTTCCTATCTCAGTAATTATGTCTATTTAGTATGTATGTAACGACGAAACCCATCAAGTATTTATTATAAAACCTTTTTTTGTTTTTATACAAAGGTTTTATAATACCTTGAAGAGTGTATTTTTCTAACAATATCAATATCTATACAAAGTGCTATTCCAGTGTTAATCACGACTATTAATATATAATACACTTACAAGTTTGTCAGTTCGTTTGTGGATTTTATTTTATTATATTTTAGATAATTTCAGTTAATTCTTAAAATATTTAATTTAAAATTATTTACCAATACAGGTGACGTCAGAAAAGCAATAGAGTGGACTAAAACGTTGTTGAAGCTTGCTCCCAATCACCCACGCGCGCGCGGCAACATACCGCATTATATGAAGGAAATAGAAGAGGAAGACACAAAACTGAAACGAAGGCGTAGAGGGGTAAGTGTCCTAACTTAACTGGGAAAATCTGCCTAACATAATGTTCGACGGGATATCTGTGGACTATAAAGATTTTGTAAAGGATCTCGGAATATATTTTGACAGAACGCTATCCTGGAGCACCCAAATAACAGAGATTAGTAGGAGGGTCTTTGCGATTGTGGGCTCACTCAGAAGATTACGTAATTTTTTACCTATGGCCACTAGAGTTGCGCTTGCTCACTCCCTTGTCCTTCCCGTCCTTGACTATGCTGATACCTGCTACATTGATCTCACCGAAGACCAACTTAATAAACTTGAGCGTCTCCAAAACCTGTGTATTAGATTTATATTTGGACTTCGTAAATACGACCACATCTCTAATTTTCGCACTCAGCTCAAGTGGCTCCCAATATGTCGACGCCGAGATTGGCATATATTATCTCTTCTTTATTCCATTCTATTCAATCCTCTTACACCTCACTATCTTAAAGAGCGATTTATATTTCTCGGTGAAGTTAACATAACCTTCAAGAAAAATAGTATTCATTTTTAAAAACCCCAGCACATACCTCCGTGTACTACACCAAATGGTGTTTCCGTTCAGGCAGTGCGCCTATGGAACTCGCTGCCACCGTCTATACAGAGTGCGCAATCCTTGGCTTGTTTAAAGGACAAGTCAAAACATTTTTTTCATTTTCTTTTCCACTCCTTTGTAATTTTTGGACTAGATTTGTCATATTTCCTTGTGTGTGCTATGTATGTATTTATATGTGTATGTTTATGTATTTTGTATGTATGTTATATGTGATTATATGTGATTATGTATGTATATATATATGTATGTGTATGTGTATGTATGTATGTATATATATTGTTATAGTAAGTAGTGTAATAAATTATATGTATTTGATATTTTTGTGCATTACATGTTTTTGTATTTTGTGCACGAACAATTATTAAAATTGATGCCCTTTTCTATCTGTTCTCCCTTAAATATATATTGTCTGTAAATATATGCCCTATATATAAGCCTTTTGTACCTTTATTGTATATTTCAATCTGTATTTATGTTACTGTATTTCATTTGAATTATTCACTTGTCATTGTATATTTTTATTTATGGTGCAATAAAGAGTTAAATAAATAAATAAATAAATAAATAAATAATACTTGACCCACTGAAACTGCGCAGAGATGTTGCATCTCTGTGAAAAAATCTTCTACCGAATTTATCATGGGAGTGTTTTGAGAATTGAAAACGGATTGATACCTGCTGCTGATTTTCACCACCGTACAACCCGCCACAAATAAAGTTTCATCCCAATCATCTGGACAGTGGCGGTCTTCCAAATATATTTTTCAAGGCACTTTCTTCCACGCACAACCATTCTTTGGAATCAATTTCCAGCAGCAGTATTTCCGAAACGATACGACAACATAACCAAGAAAAGAGTATATTCCTTTTTAAAAGGCTGGCAGCACTCCTGCAATGCCGCTGGTGTTGTGGGTGATCATGGACGGCGGTAGTCACTTACCATCAGGTGAGCCGCATGCTCGTTTGGCCCCTGTGTTGTAAAAAAAAAATTCATTTTCTTTGTGTAGTGAGACAAATTCTTCATATTGAACTGTAGGTTAGAGCTGTGTTAGTAGATATTCCATTCACGGTGTCAAGTGCTGTCCGTCGTGTAGTCGAAGGACAGTCATCGACGTATATTTTTTTCTATCTGGAATTGGGAATAGAACGTTTCATTTAAGAAGTTTATAAAAACAACATTCATTAAAATTAATTACATTTAAGGTAAAAAAATATATATTTCGAAATATATGCCGTATATGTAGAAATATAGAAGCATATTAAATTATATACAAATATTTTAATGCCTGTTTCATCATATTAGTGGCCATTATAAACGTGCCAACTACTGGCAAACCCCCACAAGGAGGAAGCTTATTGAAACGGAAAAAATACTTTTAATATGCAATGAGAGGATTTTAGAATGGAAAACTACAGAAAAGATGAGGAAACAGACATTAGCAAAATGTATTTAAATGTAAAAACAATATGTCAAAAAAATATATAAATTTCGAATGACAATAAGAATATAAAAATGTAGCGAGGAGTTCGCTACACTTATGTTCAGCAGTGGACAGTTAAAGGCTGATATGATAATGCCTGCTTACTGTATTATAATTGTTTTTATTATAATAACAGGATACTGGAGAAGTGACAAAAGAAAAAGATCCCGAAGTCGTTGAGGAGTTAAGCGAATATCAAAAGGACAGGATAAATTACGAGGCTCTTTGTCGTGGTGATATGCGTCTACCGAGTTATTTCACTAAAGAGTACGTTGTTTTTAATTTATATAGAAATTGTTTTATATTAACGACCTTACTAGTCTAATATTTATAATCCTCCAAAAATATAGTTACAAATATTTGCGTAACATTTAAATTAGTCGTGTTCAAGATTCAAGATTCAGGATTAATTTATTTGTAAAACATGCGTATATTTATTAATAATAGGATCTTCATCCTCCAATCAAACAGTTTATAATTACTCCTCTCCATCCAAAGGTTACCTGGAAGAGATCGCTTTTAGCGATAAGGTCGCCCATTGTTTTCTCATTGTGATTATTTCTTGTATTTTTTTATATTTATAATCGGTTTACTGTTGTAATCTTTTGGAGGAAACAATAAAGAGTATCTATCTATTTTTTTTCAGCCTACACTGCCGCTATCTTACAGAAAACCACCCATTTCTTATACTAGCACGGGTGAAAATGGAAATTATATACCTGAACCCAGACGTGGTTGTGTTCCACGATGTGTTGAGTGATGATGAGATAGAGTACATTAAGACGTTGGCTAAACCGAGGGTAAGTATTGCCTTAAAATCTAATCTAAAAACTGCCTAGTTTACTTGTAAATTGTAGCTAATTATACAAAGAGAAATGAATAAAGTTTGATAGAGAAACAATTGGTAACTAAAAATTGTCTATCGAGGCGTACGGTCGGTCCGTTAGGGCTTCCTCATTAAAATTTCAACTTTAATGCTTTGTTAATGAAGTCGTCAATGATTCTTCTTTAGAAATAGTTTAGTCAGACATGCTTACATGCAAATTCTAATGGTTGTAATTTATCACAGTAATTGAAATGTCAATATAAAATCTAATAATGTCGATATAAATGTTCATAATTAATTTGCCATTCCGTAATAGTCGTCTTGTAATAAAGTCAGCTATTTTAGACATTAGAGAAATACATAGGCATTCTATAGTTTCTTATTATCAACATTTTAAAAAAATATAAAATTTAAAATTTTGTACTTCTCTTTGAACCCACAAGTGTAGACTATCTACTTTAATAGTTGGTGTTGAAGGGCTTATTAAGCAAATACGAATAAGGCGAAACAGATCTGTTTGATTCTTTTTCGAAAAATAGGTGTGACCATACATTTGTAATATTTAATGAATCGATTTTGATATTACACTATGATATTATATATATAGCTCATATATCATGACGTACTATAGTGTTAGTTTAGACAAAGGGTGGAGAAAAAGACACTGAATGGAATATGTTTTTTTTTTTTTATGCAACGTAGAATCGCAAATAAGCTGACGGCCCATCTGATAGAAAATGGTAACCGTCGGCTATAGACATGAGCAGTACCATGGACATAACAGAGTATACTGTATCGGCCATGACAACGCATGGGGGGTATCCCCCGTGCGTTGTCATTCTTAAGGACTAAGATGTTATTCCTTTGTACATGTAAATTCACTACCATATCCCTTCAAACCGAAATACAGCCATGCAAACACAGTTGCTTCACGGTAGAAATACGAATGGTTTGTATACTACGACATAAATCCTTACTGAGGGGGGAAAGGGATTGTTAAATGAGACTGAGAATCCCATCGCTAGCAATATACCCAGGTCGACTTCCTCGCAGTTCTCCCTGGAAACTATCATGATTAATTCCTGATGAATTAATCATGATGAGCTAACTGGCCTGTTTTCATTCTCATCTATCACCCTTCACTGGTGCTCCGCCAGCGTATCCCGTTAGCGCAGGCGGGGCTACCATACCATTTTCACCCATTAAAAAAATCCTTACTGATATTACAAATGTAAAAGTTAATTTGTTTGTTTGTTACTTCTTAACCAGTAATTATGATTATACTTATGAATTTGATATAAGGTTCTATAAAGAAAGAGGTAGACTTTTTTATTCCGGTCACGCGGGCGAAGTCGCAGGTAAAAACTAGTAACACATAAATAGATTAAGGAATAATTGTGATATACGACCTTTTTATAGTTCAAGCGCGCGGTTGTGCACGACCCCCGAACCGGTGAGTTAGTGCCGGCCAACTACAGGATAAGCAAGTCGGCGTGGCTTCGGGACGAGGAGTCTGACGTTGTCTCGCGGATATCACAGCGTGTCGCCGACATCACCGGCCTCAGTATGGACACCGCTGAAGAATTGCAGGTCAGTTTTATTTTAATAAAAGTATTATTTTTATTTTATTAATTGACAGATAATTGTGACATTGACAAGCTTTGTTATGAACACTCCAGAATTGTTGTTTTTATAAATATTTACGCGACTTTGTCTCTTCAAGATTTATTTTACTATAAATTGATTATAATTAGTGTAAATACAACTTTTATAAGGAAAATCAGTTCGATGAAAATAAAAAAGTTTATCGACCCTAATTAAAGTTAGAATTGCATCACAGAATTCCATTTTTTTATACTTTTAACCATTTTTGAATACCTACAGTCGTTCGATTAATGTTAAACTGCTTTTATAAACGTCAACCTACAGTCGTTGGCGCAATGTTAAATTGCTTATAAATATTCAACTTCCATTAAACCGAGTAGGTGGGGTCGTTCATCTCAATTATTATAAAAACCTGAATCAAGTTTAAATTGCCCGATACCTTCAATTTCTTATAATTATTTTAGGCATGCAGCATCATCGCAAAGATCTAGATATATATTTGCATACATACAGACAGCTGATTATTATGGACTAAACTATTAAAAACATACTAGAAACGATCTCTTACAAAAAATATAGTTTTTGCATATTTGTCTTAACATTTACGTGTTTAACTTAATCTACATTTTCTTTTACCTAAACAGATGGTGAATGCACTCTTTGTAATATATTCCGCAGTATTATTTAGATGTAACTTCATTGTTACAGGTCGTCAATTATGGAATCGGAGGACATTACGAGCCTCATTTTGATTTCGCTCGGGTAAATATGTCTCTATTATTTTGGATAAGCTAAAAATTTACGAATATCCACTTGGTTATTAGTGAACGTGTAGTATATATTTCAAATTAAATATGTTATTACATATGTATATACATTTATACAACAGCTGCCTTTTTTCAGAAGCAAGAAAATGCATTCAAAAAATTCAGCGGTAACAGAATTGCTACAGTGCTGTTTTATGTTAGTATTACAATTATTACTATACATTTTACCTATTTACCTCTTAATATAACTATTCCCTATTACCTTAATAGCAGCGGTAGTCACTTACCATCAAATAAACCGCATGCCCGTTTGCCCCGTGTTATAAAAACAATAATATAACATTTATATAATAAATTATAACAATTTATATAGTATTAAAATAACTGCTAAAGACATACTAAAAGTAATATATTATTATTATAATAATTTTATATCATCATTCATCATTTCAGCCATTAACTGTCCACTGCTTAACTTAAGCCTTCTTACTTAAGGAGTTTTGCCAGTGGTTGCCACGCTTGGCAGGAGGATTGACAACCGCAGTTAGGCTTTTAATGATGTTTTAAGTGAGACGCTGCTGCCCATCCCTCTATCATTAAGTTCCCTTAGTTGCCTCTTACTACACCGACAGGAAAGGATGCGATGGCCTATACTATGCCGGGACCACAAGGCCATTTTATCACTTCAAATATAACTATTTAATTTCAAAACATCCAAATTATATAACACACACTGACTTAAAAACAATCATTTACAAAATGTGTTATTTAGATGTCGGAAGTGGCCCAAGGGGGCGCTACGGTGTTCACGCGGCTGGGTCTCAGCGTGTTCCCGATCAAGGGTGCAGCGTTGTTCTGGATGAACTTACACCCTTCCGGTGAAGGCGACATTTCCACGCGTCACGCCGCTTGCCCAGTACTGCGGGGCTCTAAATGGGGTAAGAAATTTATGTAAACATAACCTCAGATATAATTAAATGATTGAAATCGTAATACTATATACCATTTTTTTATGCAACTTAGAATGGCAAACAAGTTGTCAGTCCATCTGATAGAAAGTAGTAAAGTGGTAACCATCGTCTATAGACATGAATAGTACCATAGACTTAACAAAATACTGTATCACCCACCTTCATGCATTGTCATTCCTGAGTTCTAAGGTGTACTACCTATGTATCCTGTAACTTTACTGCCTTTAAATCTTTATTTTACTATTATAATTGAATTATTATTTAAATTATTTTGTATGATATCATAAAGAGATAGGGATTTAAACATGATGTTTTATCATAATAAAAAAATAAAATAACAAATTGATCGCCATGTTTGTCTTCAATGTAATCACGTATCCTTTTAATATATGGGCTGTCACAGCAATTCATGTGAATTATCAAAATCTATTTGGATAAAAATCTGTGAATAAAGAAATATACATGATACATACACACATACATCAACCCTAAAAACATTACATTTATTTTTAGGGGAGATATGCACGAAACATAAATATTTTTTGTTTAACGTATTATAAAGAGAAAGTTTTATTTAACATTTCTTTTAAATGTACACACTATCTTCGAAAATCTATGTAAAGATTATTTTCAACCGAGACGAAATATACAAGAAAGTAGGTTGTTATTTTTTTAAACAAATTAATATTATACCATGTTATTATTTTACTGTCAATACACAACCATTAGCACAGTGACAACACCACATTACGCCATGATCTGTCTAGTTTACATATTATTTATTTATATTTCCAGTGTCAAACAAATGGATTCATCAAGGAGGTCAGGAATTATTGAAACCGTGCGACCTGGAATATCAGGATGAGGCCTACATGCGTAAGATACCTCGACCAATACCGAAAACCTCCAGGTAGGATTCTCTTATTCCTCCACGGATTACCATGAATTAGCGAGATGAGTAGAAGCAAAAGTGGATATAACACTTTCCTTAGTCAAATATTATATTACTCCGATGTTACTTATGTTTGTACGCGATATGTACATGATGCAATAATGTAATACTTAAAAATCCAAAACATAGCTATAATGGATAATAATAACTGAATCTTAAAAACACTTTAAAGATTTTTTTTCCTAATTGTTTTATAAAGTGTACTCGACATAAAATTATATTTAGAAACAAAATATTTTTACTGCATTTATTAATAATAAAAGTTGAACATGAATATGTTATAAAAGTAAAGAATATTCAAGGAATCTTGAATATTATTTACTTTTATAACAATTGTTCACAGTCAATTACATTAGAGTTATATGATATTTGACAAAATGTTACCGTAAGGCCATCATTGCATTTTGATATTGACTAAATCGTTGTACAAAAATATAGTAGTAAAATAAGTAAATGTACTGTTAGTATGTAATTACGAAACAGGTTTAGTTCAAATATAACGCCATAACAATGATAATTAACATAATTTTTAATATATCAATTTCTCAATTGCTTATAAGTAGCTGAATGTTCAATAAATTTAAGAGTATATTCACACGGAACGTGTAGTCAGCCCTGACTATGAGCAAGTGTTACACATTTATTTCACAAAACTTTGAACTTTTCATTCAATGTTTCAAATCACTAAATGAAAGTTTACAGTGACAGTCGACGGCTGGCCATTCGTTCAGTGTGAATGCAGCCTAATAAATGTAAATGTTTGTAGGTGTTTTCGATTTTTTTTATAAATTGTATTAAAATTAATTGTCTCGTGTAAATCGTATAGCTTAATTATGCCAACTAGAAGTAGTTCTTGCCAGGAGCAAATATTATGACAATTTAGAATAATTTTTAATTTTAAAAAAGATTTATACAAAAAAATATGAGAGGCTATGTTACAATGGCCGTGATATTGCAACCAGTGCTAATTTTACATAGATATAAATTAATAGAAAGTAAGGATTTTCGTTTACGAAGAATTTATTTTTAACCAAATAATTTCCTATTGTGTTTTGTTTCCAATTTTGTTGGTTCTTAATAAAGGCATTTATATATTTAAATATTTATTATTGCGATAATTTAAGCAAGTGTTTTTACAAATCACAAGTACCACAAATTATATTTTTTTTTAACACGACATACGTTGACTCGTCTTACTACAGCAAATTGAAGTGATTACGTTTCATATTGTATATTGATTTTTGAATGAACATATCAATAAATATATTGTCGTTTTTGTATAATAAAGCAATCTAATACTTTAATTACTAACAACATGAAGCAGTTTTTAAAAATTCATTAAATATATTTAACTAATCTCAATTGTTATATATTTATTTTTTCTTATTAATTACATTTTATGTCAATGTGATAAAAAATAATATTAGAAAATGTTATAAAACAAAACAAACCTTTGAGAAAACAGCAAAAATTTGTCGAGTGCTTAAATAATAATATTTTTTGTTCCTCATGATAGTGGTCGTTTTACTACTTTAATTGTAAAAAAGTAATAGTTTGCATAAATCTATTGAATTCTTACATTAAACTTATATATACACACACATATATCTATATACAAAACAGTTTAAAAACATCTAAATATTTTTTTTATACAGGTACATCGATTCACTTTTGCGATTAACTCTAATTTTATTAATTTAAAAATTTTAACACAAACACAATCATATTTTTTTTTATATAATTGTTCAGAAAACAACAAAAAGATCCCTTCTTCCCTTCTTCTTTTTAAATATTTAGAAACTATTCTTGCAGGAGAAACGAAGAGCGGAGAGCAATTTAAGACAACAAAAACGTTACATATAGAGTTATACGTATACTGTACATAACATTCCTGTTGTTTATACATTACCCTAAAACTTCTTAGTGCTTCCGTCTCGATGGCGGGATATTAGTTGACGTTGCTAGTTAGAGTATTTCAGAACAAACAAAGTAAGTACATGCATGGTGACACTTTAGCATTGCACACTACTGTGTTTGCTACGAAACACTCTTGTTTTCTTCCAATTATCTTTCACTCATTTTTTATCCGCTATTGTATTAGATATTGGGTTATATATATGTATTACAATTACGAATGTATAGCTATTCTAATGTATCATTTTTAGATTTTATCAGTTTGTATTTATTTTTATGTATTTATTTAGGTTAACAAACAGTAACACATAACTGGATTACTTAAAATAAGCCATTAGTATAATAATTATAGTAGATACGCCGCCCGCTACGTTAACCACATAATTACTAAATTATAGATACTTCTAATTAAGAAACTTCAAGATGTGTTATGACATCACATTCATATTTATAATATCAGCAAAGATTTTAAACTATCATAATTTTTTTTTTATTTTTATCAACTCCACTATATTTTGTATAATAATGTTAGTAGACCTATTGTTAAAATTAACATCTCTGTACCAACTTACATATTACTGGTTTCTTAAAGCATTTGGAATTACAAGCAAATACATCGATGTTACTACAAATGTTGATATAACAGATGACAATTCGACTCATTAACCAGAATTTATATGACATTCACAGTAGGAGAATATAGGTAGTCCACGTGCAGGTTTATTATGGGATTCATAATGGATCTTGGTAATAAATATGTTCTGTTAACATATTACAGTCAAATATATTAACGAGCTACTATTTGTCAGGCTTGACAGGCGGGTTCGCAATCGTAGTTATTCTTTGATGATGTTTTATTTAAGTGCCGAACACATAGCGTGAATTTACTGGGTACAGAGGAATAACACCTGAGTCCTCAGGAATGGCAACGCATGGGGGTTATCATGGGCGAAACTTGATTTTTATTAATTATAACCATTTAAAGATCTTAATCCACATTAAGAATCTTTTTAAAAAATGTACTTAATATTGTGAAACAGTACTCTGTTATGTCCATGGTAGTGCTCATGTCTATAGGCGATGGTTATTACTTTCCATCAGGTGGACCGTTAGCGTGTTTGCCATTCTAAGTTGCGTAAACAAAAAACTTATTATTGTACAACCTTCTCTATAAATTATACAGGCATTCGTTTACGCTGCCAGTTATAGTCTATCTCTATAATGAAATAAAAAATATGGATATACATTTTAATAAATTATAAAGGAATATGGAATTCACTGTTTCAGATATTTAAAGATTATATACATTGTATATAATGTGTTAACGATACAAACCTATGGTTAATAATAAACATTTTATTGTCTTCACAATGCACAATATGTTCGTGCCATAGAGTGATAGTCAATAAAGCTGACTTACCTGAACACATTCAAAATACCAATACAACCTTCAGCGTTGCATTTCATTAGCGAAGAATAGCTCTTTGTTATAAGGTCAAACGCATAACTTGGAAATGCGTTCTCGAGTTTCCTCAATGCATTCCATGTTCATGGAAACATTAGCGCCTCACAGTTTCGAGTTATCAATTGTGTCTGATTATTATTCTTTGTATGGAATTCTGGAAACAGTGTTAATGTTGATTAAAGTTGTGACACGTTGTAATTATTGTTGAAATAAAACTATTCGCTAATGAAACAAAACAAAAAATCAATATATATTTTTTTAGTTAATTTCCCGTGCCCCTTTTTATTAGAAACACGTCCTATGGATAACTTTTAAGGAAAAGAGCGCAATCGACATAAAGATTTCATTCTATTTGGCAAAATTGTAACATTTGTATATTCTTTTACCCAGCTCTATAATATTATGCCTATAATTTTAAGGCAATTAAATAGATACTAAAAATTTTCCATGTCACATGCCTTTATTACATTAAATTAATTATTACATATTACAATAAATAAATACATTATGTATAAAGAAAATAAATATTTCAACACATTGAACTCCTAGGTAGATAATAACTCAATAGGTATGTATTGTGACAAACATATTATTTTAATAATTAAATTTGGGTGGCACGCAGACACAGAATGCAGACATATTTACTAGGGTCTTATATTTTAGACATTAAAAATTAAACGTGACAAATTAAAATTAAAATCCCTCTTCATTGAGCCAATTGTGAATATATGTATCTATATATTTGTTATGTATATATATGTGTGTGTGTGTGTATGTAGGTATGTATTTATGTGTGTAAGTTTTTATTTATTTATGTATTAATGTTATATTATTATTTATGTACTTTTATTATTTACATATGTAGGTATATAGAGCTGTTTTTATTGTCTTATATATTAAATTTTTTACTGGATATTATTTAGTTTATCTTTAATTGTATGGTTATTACCATTATACATTCTACAGTTTTCTTTCAGCTTCTCAAAGGTTGACTGTAAGAGATCCCTTTATGGGATAAGTCCGCCATTGTATATTAAATCATCTATCAGTATTCAATGTGAATTATGTACAATAAAGATTTTACAATACAATACAACTTCTATCAAACGTAACTACTTAAATTAAGATCTCATGTATCTAAAACCTTTTATGGTACTATGATTTATATTTTCATGGTTATGGAAGAGCGTGACCTTCTGATACAGGTTAACACTTACTAGAAGGTCACAAAAACTATCTTAGTATTTTATCAATTTTGCTACGATATAAATATTTTTTTTACTTTTTAAATTTTTCATCTAAAACCATGTGTGATAAAGATTTTGCGGATAAACTGCAAGGCAGTTGGTGATACAATTGAAGAAAATTGTCATGATAACATTTCCCCTTATGTCCATATTCTAATTTTCTATAAACTTCTGAGAAAGTTATACCTAACTAGGCTAACAGGTGATATCCAGTCCTTTAGTTTAAGGTGATACTTTGCCTCTCTTTATATCTTCTTCCGCTTGTATAACGGATTATATTCTGAAGAACTCTAAAATCTTGCCTACAGTGACCTTTTATCACCGCACCGCTCGCCGTCGATAGGGAATCCATTCTCACACCCTAGAACCAAAAAACCGCACAGTGCGGTTTCAAAGGTACTTTCTCTCGTAAACGCTCTGGCTGTGGATTGATCTTCCTGCCGAGCTTTTCCCTAGAGACCACAGCATCTTTAAAAAGGGCCTAATATGGTTTCTTAAGAGTCAACGACGAGCACGTGACAACCTTGGTGTTACAAATCTTCGTAGGCTACGGTAACCTCGTTTACCAGGGGTGGGGAAAGGATTGTTAGTAGGGGTCTAACAGCTCCATTGCTAGCAATGCACTCTATCAAGTCGACCTCCACGCAGTTCCCCCTGGAAAGCATCGTGGTTAATTCTCATGCAATTCTTCACGATGAGCCATTAAAAAATCCGTTTACCATGTACCGTATGCTTATTTACTACCATAGTAGTACAAAAAAACCTCTCGAAATATTTTGTTTCTATACTATCTGATTACCATTTATATGTGAATTTAATATATTCGTAATATACTAGTTTCTATATAATCCACTTGGAATAAAAATATTTGGCTCCGTCGTTGATATATCGAATTGTTAATATATGTACGAGACTCATATTCATTTGGATAATTTATAACATACCTATTTACATATACGCTTCTGTTTATAATTAAGTCCATTATTTTCCTCCAACATAACTCGCAAATAAATTCTTGTTAATTATTAAATATTTATATCTAAACACGCGACAGTTTGTCCAGCCATCTATTATAGTTGAACATCTATACTCCATATCAAGGAATCCCTCTTCATTTAAATGTGATTGAGTTTGTTTATAGACAGATTTTTTTTTATTAATAAGTACTTAATTATCAATGCACTTATGCCCAAATTGGATTGGCATGAAGACGAATAGGTACTCGTTATCACTTAACACTAGATCACTTTCGCGTCAGCCAAGTGCTGGCAACAAACTGCTGGTGGCTGGGCTCAGTTGTCGGTGGCTAACGATGTAACCGGAGGCGCAAGTGTAAACATCCACTGTATGGAATGGCAGGAGCCAGCTGTCGCCGCGTCGTCGCTTGCGCCGCGTCCATAGTACCTAACTGATAAGTGACACATTAATATAATGACGTGACCACCCTGGTGGAGACATGATTTCATAAATTTTAGTGGCGCATTCATCCTTATACTAATACTAGCAATATCCCGCAGCTTCGCCCGCGTAAATCAGTACATAAAAAATTCTATGTGCTTAGTTGGAATATAACATACCCGTACATCAAATTTCATTCAAATCCATCCAATTGTTTTTGTGTGAGGAAATAAACATCCA